TAACTATTAAGAAGCATTATGCACCTAGGGCAGAACAGACGGGTGGGCAGAAATATGTACAAAGAGATATCAACTTAGATTCCAACGATGAGGAAGAAGATGCTAATTTGAATGTAAGAAATCATGGAGTTCCAGCAAGAAGGGAGTCGCGCCCTTGTGGGAAAATGGTATCCAGGTTGATGAAACAAAGGTGAAAGCAATACGCGAATGGCCAGCTCCTAAAACCGTGAGAGAAGTTTAAAGCTTTCATGGACTGTAACTTTTTACAGGCGTTTCATTCGAGGATTCAATGCAATCATAGCATCTATTACCGATTGCTTGAAAAATGGTCAATTTCAATGGGGTAAAGCGCAAGAAAATAGTTTTGAGACAATAAAAACCAAGTTATGCACTAAACCGGTGTGGGCACTACCTAACTTCGAAAAAGTATTTGAAGTTGATTGTGATGCTTCAGTTATGGAAATTGGAGCAATATTATCTCAAGAAGGTCACCCAGTCGAATTTTTCAGTGAAAATGTTAGTGAGTCTCGACAAAAGTGCACTATTTATGAGTTAGAATTTTATGCCATTATTCGGGCTTTAAAGCATTGGGAACATTACTTGATACAACGAGAATTTGTGTTATTTACGGATCATCAAGTTTTGAAATTTATCAATTCTCAAAAAACAATGAATCCAATGCACGCTCGGTGGATCACCTTTTCACAGAAATTCACTTTTACTATAAAGTATAAACCAAGCCAACAGAATAAAGTAGCAGACGCTTTAAGTCGACGAGCATCTCTTTTAGCTACAATTAGTACAGAAGTAGTTGGGTTTGATTGCTTAAAGGAACTTTATGCAACTGATAAGGATTTTGGCAATATATGGACTCGATGCAGTAATAGAGAATTTATACACGATTACCTATTTCAGGAAGGATTCTTATTTAAAGGAACGCAACTATGCATTCCTCGTTCTTCTTTGCGTGAACACTTGATTCGAGAATTGCATGCAGGCGGATTAGGAGGACATGTTGGTCGAGATAAAACAATCAGCTTGGTTGAAGAAAGATTTTATTAGCCCCAACTAAAAAGAGACGTTGGTCGTTTTGTTCAACGTTGTCCAATATGTCAGAAAGCGAAAGGACCAAGCTCAAAATACTGGACTCTATACCCCATTACCTGTTCCAGAAATAATATGCCAAGACCTTACTAAGTATTTTGTTCTCGATCTTCCACGAACTCAACGAGGAGTTGATTTTGTTTTGGTTGTAATTGATCGGTTTTCAAAAATGGCTCACTTCATTCCTTGTAAGAAAACTGCAGATGCTTCTTACGTGGCTAATTTATTTTTTCGTGAGATCGGTCGCCTACACGGCATTCCTCGTTCTATAACTTCTGATAGAGATGTCAAGTTTCTAAGTCACTTTTGGAGGACATTGTGGAGAATATTTGACACTTCTTTAAAGTTTAGTAGCGCGAGTCATCCACAAACGGATGGACAAATAGAGGTGGCTAATTGAAATCTTGGCAATATGATTCGAGCAGTCAGTGGAGATGAACCAAAGCAGTGGGATGTTGCCCTTCCATAAATTGAATTTGTTTTTAATAGTATACTTAATCGATCCACCAAGAAGACTCCATTTGAAGTCGTTTACACTAGTGTTCCAAGACATACAGTAGATTTGATTCGACTTCCGAATGTCAATTATAATGCAGAAGAGTTTGCTGAACGTATTCAAAGAATTCATCATGAAGTAAAACAAAATTTAGAAGATGCTAATATTCGTTATAGGACTGCTGCAAATCAACATCGACGCCTTAAGCTGTTCAACGAAGGTGATTTGGTGATGATCCATCTCCGCTAAAATCGTTTTCCTGTTGGCACTTACAATAAACTTAAAGATAAGAAGATTGTCCTTTTCGTATTCTTCAAAAGATTGGTGATAATGCTTACAAAGTTGACCTTCCCGCTGATATGAACATTTTTAATACTTTCAATGTTGCTGACATTTTCAAATACTTTCCTCCAGATGAGTTTTCCTTATACCTACAAAACTCGAGGGTGAGTTTTATTCAAGTGGAGGGGATTGATGATGCACATTACAACTACAATTGATAGTTTCACTTTATCTAAGAGTTTGTCTTTTTTTAAATTATCTTTTCTAATTTCTTTTTCTAATTGTAATATGTTTATTCTTAAATTTTATTTAGATTAGGATTAGTTNGAGCAGTCAGTGGAGATAAACCAAAGCAATGGGATGTTGCCCTTCCACAGATTGAATTTGCTTTTAATAGTATGCTTAATCGATCCACCAAGAAGACTCCATTTGAAGTCGTTTACACTAGTGTTCCAAGACATACAGTAGATTTGATTCGACTTCCGAATGTCAATTATAATGCAGAAGAGTTTGCTGAACGTATTCAAAGAATTCATCATGAAGTAAAACAAAATTTAGAAGATGCTAATATTCGTTATAGGACTGCTGCAAATCAACATCGACGCCTTAAGCTGTTCAACGAAGGTGATTTGGTGATGATCCATCTCCGCTAAAATCGTTTTCCTGTTGGCACTTACAATAAACTTAAAGATAAGAAGATTGTCCTTTTCGTATTCTTCAAAAGATTGGTGATAATGCTTACAAAGTTGACCTTCCCGCTGATATGAACATTTTTAATACTTTCAATGTTGCTGACATTTTCAAATACTTTCCTCCAGATGAGTTTTCCTTATACCTACAAAACTCGAGGGTGAGTTTTATTCAAGTGGAGGGGATTGATGATGCACATTACAACTACAATTGATAGTTTCACTTTATCTAAGAGTTTGTCTTTTTTTAAATTATCTTTTCTAATTTCTTTTTCTAATTGTAATATGTTTATTCTTAAATTTTATTTAGATTAGGATTAGTTTATTTCCTTTTGGAATTTAGTATCCTTATTTTAATTTCCTTTTATTAATAGGATTAGGGATAATTTGACCTATAAATATAGGGGTATTGTACACTTTTTAATCAATCAATCATATATCAATACAAAACAAGATTATTTCAATATAGTTCTTATTTTCAATTATTATTACAAGAATTTCTAAACGCTTCCACACCAATAAAAAACACTTATCAGTAGCATATAATAAAATATTTTTAAATTGATAGGTAAACACGATTTTTTCGGAAAAGTGGACTCAAACTTCCTCTATTGGAATTCAGTAAAAGTGTGGGCACATGTAAAACACGAATTAAATTTTAATTTTGTCGGCACAATTTCCCCTCTATGATTCATTTATTTCCATCACCACCCCCATATGCGTTTTGCCACTCTCAATTGAAGGTAAAATTTTCACGAATAATTAAAAAAGAGTTATATTGAATTTGGATATAATTATTTTTTAAAACAAAAGCACCAAGCCTGATAGGATATGAAACATCGCTAAGAGTATGGGGCACCTAGGGTTCTCGAGAAGGGTGAGCTAAGAAGAAGTCGAAGGCAAAAGAAATCAATAGTCTAAAATTTAGGACGAATAAATTGAGAAATTGAATGTTTATACAAGACGCAACTCAAAAAAGGTCGAAATATTAAATTTTATTACGATCAGTGATACAACAATAATTTAATAAGGATGAAGTTGGTCCATATTCCTTGCTCACGAGACAATACTTTTTTGCACTTAACTCTTATTGAGGTCCTGTTTGAACTACATTATTTTTTTCATTCTCATTCTTTTACTCATTTTTAATCACACATTCTTTAAAAAAATAATATTTTCCATCACATCAATAACTTTACCTTCTTTTGCAACCACATATTCCCCACCACATTAACAGTAAAAGTGCATTCTTTTTCCAAAAATGTGCACCAAATGGGGGCTTAATAACTAAGGCTTGTTTGAGCCCAATTTTATTATCATAATGCATTTGGAATAGTAGATTGATGGAAAATCTGTGGTTAAAAGATATGAATTTTTTTTGAATTTGCGTGTAATATTATTTTATTAAAGAACACGTAATTGAAAAAAAAATGTAATTCGAAAATAACGTGGATCAAACAAGAGCCTAGCTTTGTCTAATAAAACTGATAACCTAAGAATAACTAACCAAGAGGGGGGTGAATTTGTTTTTGAAACTTTTTCGACACTTAGTTTCAAAACAATACAATACACAAGATATGAACTTAAAGTATAATACTAGAATTAGATATAAAAGTTCGATAACTTAATTCAAGTATGAATANTATATCACAATATAAATGATAATGCAAAGTAAAGTGCGATAATGTAAAGATAACAAACCAATTTAATGGGGTTCGGTATACACTGTGTTCTACGTCCCCGTTACCAAACTCTTCGTCACGAGAAAGTTCAAATGCATTATAATGGTAACTTACAAACAACGAGTACCGACCCTTAAGTGACTTACAACAAGGAGCATTTATCTTTAGGTGACTTACAACAATGAGCACCTATCCTTAAGTGACTTTCAACAAGGAGCACTTATTTTTAACAACAATCGACTTTCACAAGGCTCTCGAAACCACTAAAGTATAAACGATAGTTTTACAATTGAAAAAACTCTCTTAACAAATGATATAATCAAGCTCAAGTGTTTGTGTTGTAAATAATAAAGGATAGCACTTCCAATAGATAGCAAATAATAAAACTCAAGTGTTTGTGTTGTAAACTTT